TCCTTAAATAGAAAAAAGTACAAAGTTAAAATCCTTATTTGCACATTTACTCAAAATGAGAGTGAAATGTGAAAGAGAAGAGGAAGCTCTTAAGGCCTACTGATTAAATATTTAATGTAAAAGGTTTCCTTATCTATTGGCTATGGTAGAACCTATATAAGCTCTTTTTCCACTTGCTTTTTCCCACAGTTTGAACTATTTGTCTGGTTACATTAAAAAAAAATGTGAAAGTTACTTAAAAAATAAAATGAAAGAGAATGAATATTGATTAGTAATAAAATTTGATTGCTAGTTATTAAAAGAGTTTTTCTATACTTGCCATGAGAGCATAATTAATTTATATAAAAAATATAAATATTAATTTTAAAACTATATATGTAATTAATTTAATTAATTAATTAAAACTATTTATGTAACTATAATATTAAAAAATTTATTTTTTAAATAATTTTTTATATAAATTAATTATAAAATTATGTATTTATTATATTATCATGACATAGGTTACGACATAAGTTAGACAACCCTTCTTAAAAACAAAATCTTATTGTTGAAGGGTCAAAAGCTTAAGTGCCGTTGGCTTGCCGCCTTTTATGATGCCGTTAAATTTTAACGACGTTCTCATTTTCAACTCCACTATGCCAATCTAACCATAGTGGACAAAAAAGTTGGCAATTCAAGAAATTTGTATGCGTGTTAGCATGAAAAGGAAAGATAATAGATAAAAATGTGAATAAAATAGCCTTATTGTAGAGTGGAAGGGAAAATGGTGAAGAAAGTTTGATGATTACATGGGAAAAAAAAAAAATATATATATATATATATATATAGATATGGTTGAGATTTAATTTAAGACCATTCTTACTTCTAAATTCTCACCTACTACCATGGAAAGGGACAGGAACATAAAATCAGCAAACACCACCACCTACCCCTCTCCAAATCCAATCCCAAGGGTGCTTCATTTCACCTACAACATCAACTTCACTTCACAAATTAATTGAAACAGATTCCAGTAAGCTCCGGACATCATATCTCCCATCTGAGTTTTGAATAGGTTCATCTGACACATAAATGGAAAGATTGAACAAGTTCAGTCACAGTCGAATGCTGAACCCTTCTTTAAAAAAAAAAAAAAAAAACCCTCTAATTTAATCCCTCAACTATTACACCAATCCCTATCCCTAAATTGATGCTTGAACTAAAAAAAATTCTTGATTTAATTTTTAAATTTTTTAAATGTAACTTCAAATCAATCTTACATTAAAAAATAACTGACATATCTCAATATTAATGTAATATGTGACCATTAAGTAACAACTTTTTATCATTAAATAACGAACACATCAATTTTTTTTTTTTTTAACAACAAGACTAACTTAGAGTTACTTCAAAAATTTTAAAGACTACATCAAAGATTTTTTTAATTTAGAAACCAACTTAAAGTTTATACAATAATTAACGGATCAAATTAGAAGTTTAAGAAAAAAAAAAAAAAAAAAAAAAAAAACAGGAAACTGGTACAGTCAGATTTCATTCAAAATAAACCCCACAAGTGGCAGGGGCATATGAGTTTGGTTTCCCAAAAAGGCATTTGAATGAGGGATGATAACTGACAGACACGTGAATTAAATGACTCTTCGTTTCACCCAACCCAACATGCTCCCTGCGGCTGAGTGGAGAAGGGGTCCCATAGGAACATATACGGACAAAAAGGCCATCGGCTTATTAAAAATTTGGTGTCCATCTACACTGGGAGATTGCTCCTCTATGGTGGGTAGAGTTCCCATAGTGCAATTGTTGCATCTTCTGATGTGGAGGCCATTAACTTGCAATCGGTTGAATACGAGACAGAGTTACACTGCAAAAACCCAACATGATTTACTTTTAAAAAGCATTATTCCAAGAAATTATTATATAATAGGCAATATATATATATATACTCAAAGAGTAAAGACACCAAAAATAAAATACGAGAACTGTCTTTAATTCTTTCAACTCAATTGATCACGGTTTGGGACCTTTTTAACGTACCGTAGCATGGTGATATTTCAATATTGCTAAGGGACTTCCTTTTCGATAATTGTAAATCCTAACTCTGTGACCATGATAAACAAAAAGAAAAACATTAAATAAAATTGTAGAATATATATACATATTTAAAAATAAGACTTTATTCTTCTTGTATTTTGAATCCTCTGAACAGAAATGAACACCCACTCGAGGAATTCACCCAAGGCAAAAAAAGCTGTAAGAAGCCTAATCGAGTTATATAATATAGGTTCAAAAACAGATAAAGAACTTATAAAACAATCAAGTTAGAAAACACAAAATGTTCTTAGAAGCCTAATCGAGTTATATGATATAAGTTGATAATAACGTATTGTTATAAATCAACACAAGAATATGAGGTGAATTCCCAAACAACTTCAAGAAAATAGCTGGGAGAGAGTAAAGAATGGAAGGTGGAAACTAACCTATGATCCCAACCAGCAGTTGCAGCAATTTTACAATCTGGTCGAACTGATGTTCCCGATATCCCAGGACGTTCCAAAACAATCTCATTCTTGACTACACAAGAACCCTATCAAAATGAATACAGGATATGCTGAAAATTAGAAGAATTACAAGAAAACAAAGGTACATTCCCATTGTATTCCAATGCTGTAAAAGAACAGCCAATGATCAGCAGAAAGAAAAACAACACTAAATTATATCTGGGCAACACTCATGGACAAAGGGCTATTCTGCATATAAGAATCTTTGGTAGGTTGTCTGGTTTACCTTTTTATGGTTGATTTGGATGGTGAGGAATGATATGTGTCTTAGGAACAAGATGGTAAATATTGACGGGCTTTTTGAACTTAGTTCAATTGTGCAGTTATGCTTGGACTAAAGCTAGAGTTAGTAATTTATCTCTCTCTTTTCTTGAGTGGTGTTTCAATCCGGGATTATGTGCAAGGTCCTGGGCAGGAACTAACTACTAATTGAAAAGTGATTTGGTAACTCGACCAAACTAGACAACATTTTCTGTAAAAATTTCTAACATGTAAACATTGCTATAGGTAAGTACCTAGCTTAAATTAGATACTTATCATGTGTAAATACCTAACCTTTATTTATGTGTACTCATATCATGGTTGACTATTTAGGCATTAGTATTAATTTGATACATCCAAATAACTTTCTAATTAATTATGCCATAAAGTATTGATCTTGATTTGCAAAAACTACTGTCAGCAAGGGGTAGGAATGTACAACCTGGGAGGTTGTTCTTGTTCTTAATGAATTTTATCCTGTGTACTAGAGGTTTGTTGTAAACAGAGGGCATTAGTTAAGTTTGAACTTGGGTACTGATTTTGCTCTTTTTGGAGGGAATGTGCAGCAGTTATGTATTGATATTGTAAGCTTATTAACTTTTGTCAGGGTATGAGTAACCTCATAGTAATAAATCCATTTTTTGCTGTCAAGAAAGAAAAAAAGAAAAAAAGAGAGAGATTAGTGTTCATCAGCTAGACTTGCACAAAATTAGGCAGACAAACACTTCAAAACTATGTCGTTTTAATAAAGTATCACAAGAAAGACCAAAATACTATCATTCTTGCTTCAAAAAGTAGGTTAGTTTAGTCCTTTTTAGTGAAAATTTATTAAAATAACATAGTTCTGAAGTGTTTTTTCACCTAATTTTTTGCGAGTCCGGTTGATAAACATTTTTCTGTAGAAAAAAAAAATCCTAAATCATATCTACTAATAATAATGGACTTGATAGTTAGTAGGTACAATTAGATCCAAGCAGAATAAAAGCAAACAATCTAATGGAAACACCACAAATTAACATATAGCTTAGATTTTACATAAAAGATTCTGAATGGAATCGTCGGTGTGTGTGGGTGTGTGTGTCGTGTGTGGTGTGTGATGAGGCATGGAAAACTCCCAGTAAGCATAAATCACGCAGATGGGGTTAATAACCAAAGATGAATACTACAAGATGATAATGGACTTGATAGTATTTACAACAATATCCAAGCAGAATGAATGCAAACAATCTAATGGAAACACCACAAACTAACATATAGCACAAATTGTACATAAAAGATTCTGAATGTATTTGTTTGCAGGTGTGTATGTGTGTGTGTGTGTGCGTGTGTGTGCGTGCGTGCGTGCGTGTGTGTGTGTGTGTGTGTGTGTGTGTGTGTGTGCGTGTGTGTGTGTGTGTGTGTGTGCGCGTGTGTGCACGTGTGTGGTGTGTGATGAGGCACAGTGTGTGTGTGTGTGTGTGTGGTGTGTGATGAGGCACAGCAATCTCCTAGTAAGCATAAATCAAGCAGATGGAGTTAATAAACAAAGAGAAATACCACAGGGTGATCCAAATTATAAATCACAATTTTGTTATCAGCAGCCCCTGATATACCTCCATTGCATGACCCATCAATGCACAAACTAAGAACTGCATAAAAAAAAAAAAATGGAAATCACAAGGTACCTAGTCATAAGTAACATTCAAAAAGAGGAAGAAATAAGATAAAGAGCATACAGGGATATCTTTATATGCTTGTTAGCAGACCTGGTTCTGAATGGAACTTCATAGAAGTTATAGGTAACCCTGGGTTACGTATGTCCCACCAAAGCATCGAGCCATCCTCATAACTGCCACATGTAGTCAACAAAGCATTAGTAAGTGGTTTGTGTATCAATAAACCCTATCCAGAAAAAAGTATTGGTCACAATTGACCAGTAAATTTGGCAGTTTTCCCAGTTTTGTGAAAAACAATTTTTTGCCGCATAACCTTGCTAAATTGTGGCTGCTTTGATGTACAATTAGTCATGGGACAAAAGGAAATTCACATTTCATCCAATATATATATATATTTGTTTTCTTTTGCTGCATAGTTTGTGAAAATACATTACACTACATGCCCTTTTTTTATGCCTCTTCAAAATGAGACAACGCTAAGATTTGCACAGACAAACAAGCAACATTTAACCCACAATACTTTACCACCTTTCCATACTTCATGATTAAGCCTATAGATGGATATTAACAACCAAGTATAAAAACTTCTTCTCTTTCACAAGTACTTTTTTCATACAAAGGATCCAGCTGGTATCCAGCCAAGATCTAGTGATAATCTAAGTCACTTGTCGAGTTAAAAATAATAAAACTTAAGGTGCTTGGTCACATTAAGAGAGAGGACTAGTAGTGAATATGACATGGTACCCTGCCAAGATATTCAGGAAGCCCTCAGATCCAGATGGTAAAAATGCTTGAACTGCCATGCACATCCCTGCCAAATAAAAAAGAAAGCAACCATATTTACCCATTGATGATTGTTAAATTTCTAGGGAGACACACCACATTTATCTTTCTAAGATCTCTATAATGTCCTTGTATTGTCAAGGAGGCTTTTCAAACAAGCAAACATTTTTATCAATGCATAAAGTTGGTCACAGTCAACTAGCATAGCATCTTAGCCATCATGAAGGTCTAAAGAATAGTTGCTTCCAGTAAATGTTGACAGAAATTCTGTTAAAAGAAAAGAGGCATTCTTGAACCAACAAAAAAATCATTCAGAAGGAAAAGGGAAAAAAAAAAAAGAATTATAACAAAATACTTCAGTATAGATAAAGGTAAACCAACCTACTTGCATATAAGCCAAAAGTTATACATCTAAAAGAGTTTTTTTTTTTTTTTTAATTAAATGCTGACCTCTCTCCTTGCTAGAAAAACTTGGATTGTCAGCAAAGCTATTTTGAGGTAGTTGCACAACCCTTTCACCAGTTTTCAAATCCCAAATCTCAACCTTTGCGTACCAAACATGGAAATAATGAGCCATAAGGTATCCAAATAGAAATAAGGAAAAAAATTAGAAGAAAAAGATTTCAAAAGTTTCATATTGACCACAGAAGATTCCTCTCCCACCACAGCCACATAGCTAGATCCTCCAAGATGTGTTTCTCCTGTGTCAGAAAGATATTTTTAATACTCTTGCAAACTACCTTAAAATTGGAGGCACAAGGTAAAAGCATATTATGGGAACTTGATATTATAGATGACAAGAAGATAAAGGACAGTGTGAGACCATTAAAAAGGAAAAAAAAGAAGAAGAGTTGAAATTGAATTGGTCAACTAAATTTGATGGACCAGATCAAATAACCTTAGAATGGACTGTACAAACAAGTGATTATAGGGTATTGGGTGCTCGGCCATAGTCCAGAATATAGTTTGTCCTTCTGGGTGGAGTGTTCTAATCTGTTAACATGGCAAGACCTCAACTATTGATCTCAAAATATGAACTCATTTGAGTAATATTTATTCCCAACAAAAAATGACAAATCAGGAAAAACAATTAAGACCTGAAGTTCCTCCCCAGAAAATTTTGTATACATATATAAGTTGTGGGTTGCCACAAACATTATGCAGAAACACAAATCTAAATATTCTAAAGAACTTTGATATCCAAAAACTAATATGAGTAAACCTTCATAGGGCTTAGAGAACTCCTCTGGGGTTCCTGCAGCCCTTCCTCCAGCATCATCGAGAGTTTCTGCCTCACGATAAGTTGGCTCCAAATTAGTAACAGGCTCCTTTACTAATGAAAGCTTGCAAAAGTGATATGCATTTGTCTTGATTGTAAGTAAGGGTAGGCTGTCATGAATAATAGCTCAAGTGTATTAGTGCTGTAACACATAGTCCTCTTTCAAGTGAATGGAACTAGAAGTGGAAAAGAAACAAGATAGGCAATGCATGTCAGTTATTATGATGTATTGATTCTTTGTCTTAGCTGCAAAGGAAAGATAAGAGTACAGAGGAGTTGCAAACTAAAATCAGATATACCTCGTCATATAGGAAGCAACAGAAGGAAGAAAATAATTACAGGGCCAAATGAAACAAAGAAAAGAAGTGGGTGGATGGAGTACCTCCTGGAGAGATCACCCTCCTCTATGTCCCAATACTTGACAGTTCCATCCTTCCCCTGGCTAGCTATGTGGATGATCAAGTATTCAGTTTACAAAGGGTCATTGAGATGAAATTCAAAGTAGAGAAAAATAATGTATAAACGAAGAACTGACCTGATCAGTTTGTTGGTTCCAATGAGAGGACTGGTGGCAACAGCTATAATTCCATGGGCAGCACTATGCACCCTAAAACCAACTTTTAGGTATAAGTTGATGAAGTTTAGGAAATCAAGAAAAACGGAAACTTTGAAAAAGATAAACAAGACAACCAACCAAGCAGACGAGACCGTTCTATGCTGAATTACATCCCAAATCCGCAACTCACCATCAGAAGAGCTGCAACGAAATATCTCCACTACTTATATAATTATTTTATTTTATTTTGCATCAAATTTTAAAATCAAGCAAAGAGTGGGAGAGAAAATTCACCCGGAGAATAGAATAGGTTTGGATGGATGGAAAGAAGCATCCGTCACGGAGGCACGGTGGCCCCTCAGCACTGCTACGGGGTCGGGCGGTGGTCGCTTCGCCTTGCTCATCATTCCTCTTAATCTTATGCAGAAGCAGTTTTGTTGCCCATTAGATTACACCTCCTGCTCTTTGCTTGCAAAAAACTTCTCTTACTATTGTTGTTATTATTTTCTTCCCTCACCCACTAAAACTTCCCCTTTTCTTCCGTCAGAGTTCATAAATTTTGGGAATTACTTACCCCGTCTGATTTAATTATGTAAATAAGAGAAATAGCTCACAACTAGCGCCTGTAGCTCAGTGGATAGAGCGTCTGTTTCCTAAGCAGAAAGTCGTAGGTTCGACCCCTACCTGGCGCGATTCCTCCTTCTGATTTATTATTTATAGGTACATATTTCAATTTTTAGATTAAGTTATAAACTTTAATTTTTTTAAAATAGAGATAGAAATTTTATATTTTTTTATTTAAAGAATTATTGAATGGTAGTAATGACGAGATAAATAATAATTTTAATCAAAATAATAAATATTATAATGTAA